AAAGTGCGTTGATTTTAGTAATCGAATTATTTGTCTAAATTTCGAACTTATCACCTGAATTTTAAGCCATTTAGTATTGCATAAACCTGAAAATATTATTCTCGTTAAATCATTTAATAATTTAAAATAGATTATAGAAAGAATAATTTGTCAAATATTGCTGATATTTCAAACGATCTCTTAGCTTAATCAATTTTGTTAATTACTTTATCAATTACAGTAATTAAATTAAGAAGATATTTTGTGATTTTTTGTCTTCTCTTACTTTTGGATACAATGAAAATCTTAATTCTTCATATTTTAATTTTTATAATAATTGATATTTAAACAAATTTTTATACACAATGAAATGTTTACAGGTTTAATTTAATATTTAAGATATTTCAGAATAATATGAAGAATGTTGTAGGAAGAATGCAATCGTAAGAATGAAAAACAAAAATACTAAATACCTAAAAATTAGAATTAAAAATTCGAAATTCAGGCAATTTGAATAATAAAATTACAAAGTATTATTATATATCATTTCTCGAGTTTTAACAGTTCAATAAACTTTACTCATTTCATAGTTCATTTAATCCATTAGTATTAAAATATTAAATTTATATTTGGGATCGATGAATGGAGTAAATAAGAGATGCAAATAACCGACATCGATCATTGTTAAATCTTTTTACCAATTCCATTTATGAAATGCTTATATGATCAATCTTTATAATACTGCTTTACTTCAAGCCATAACTGCTTATAAAATGCCAAAATGCATATATGATCGGCCTTCATAATACTGCTTTACTTCAAGCCATAACTGCTTATAAAATGCCAAAATGCATATATGATCGGCCTTCATAATACTGCTTTACTTCAAGCCATAACTGCTTGTAAAATGCCAAAATGCATATATGATCGGCCTTCATAATACTGCTTTACTTCAAGCTGCAACTAGCCAAAACAATCAATGATAAAATCATATCATATCAATAAATTTAAATGTTTTAAAATAAAAAAAATGAAATGCGATCGAGAAAGTAGAAAAAAACTTTGCAAACCCGTTGAATATCATTCAAAATAATAATTTATTGAATATTTTCTTTAATGATTTGTAAAACTTTTATTCTATCATAAATCAATTTCTAAAATCTTCATCATAAATCATACAACTATAATATGCAACTTTTATTGGATAAGCAATATTTAGCTCAAAATTTTCTTCCATTTCTTTATTACTCTCCCATTTTTTTTCCATTTTGTTTCTTTTTCCGGAAAATATTAAATCAGTAAAATATCAGGTAAATAATAATTTAGTAATTTAAATATGCTAATTTTCAATATAACACAATTGTCTCTATTTTTTGTTGCAAAATTTTAATGCGTAATTATTTTAAATATTTTAATTTTTAAGTTTTCATTTTGCATCATTTTCTCTTTAAAGGAATATGTAAAACTTTTCTATTTTTCTAATATACAGAAAATTTTAATTTAAAATATTTAATTATACAATTATTTATTGTTTCAATTATTTCAAATGTTTTAATCTTTGATTTTTTATTTGAAATAATTAATTTAAATATTTCAATCTCTGATTTTTTATTTATTTCAATATTTGAAATAATTTATTTCAATATTTTAATCTCTGATTTTCTTATTAGAAATAATTGAAACAATAAATAATTGTATTTTAAAAAATTTAAAAATCAATATTTTTGTGCATAAATTAGGAAAATTGTTTGTTATTAAAATTTTAATCAAAGATCAAAATATTTGAAACAATAAAATAATTGTATAATTAAATATTTTAAAACTTCAATGAATACAAATGTTAGCACAAATTCGCTGAAATTGTTGACAAAAATAAATTGCTAACAAATAATTGTTTTGCCACATTTTAATTGAAAATAATTAATTATTTCAAAATTCAATTTTCTACAAAATATCACTGAAATGAAAAGAATGGATGACTAATAAATAAGAATTGGATGAGTAATTTTTATGAAACAAATAAGTGACAGCTATAGGTGGAAAATATTTTGAAGAAAATGATAAATATTATATGTATGGATGTGATAAATAAATAGCATATTAAATAAGAAAGAAAAGTTAATAAAAGAAAAGTGAACTTTATCTAAGCTATTTGATATTTTATCTAAGCTATTGTGATACCTAATCTAAGCTATTATGATGTTACTAAGCTATTGTGATATGAATAAATTTGAAATATTAATTTTAATTGTTATATTTGAATTGACAGTTTTTTTAATGATAAGATATAATAAATCACCGAGGTAATGAATTATCAGTGTGTTTTGGTATATAAAAGAATTTATAATTTTTCATCAACACTATCATTAAGCTCTACAAATCAACACTATCACTATCATCAAGCTCCATTATTTATCATCATCATTATCATTAGCCTTTATTATTCCACCATCTAGTAATTATTCCATTATTTTTTATAATATAGTTTTATCTTAAATGACTGTTTTGTTTTTTGAATTAATAAAAAAGTCGATGCCCACAACTGTAAATTCATTTATTAATAAAAGCCACCGAACAATTTATATGTTTTATTTTTGTACGAACATTTGTTGGAATAAATTTGTTAAATTATGAAAAACTGAAAAATCTAATCAATCAATTTTCATCTTTGAATATTTAAAATAAACTTTCTCAATATGTTTGATTTTTAAATTTTGTTTTTTTAAAAAATAAAGAGCGATTGTATTTATCAATCATAATCATTATCATAAGGTTTAGTGTAGTATGGATTACGATCAGATGCATAGAGTACTTCCACATTTACCGAAAGATCATTAAGGACGAAAATTACCGATTATTATCTGTCTGCCTCATATAATTACAGCAATTAGTAATTATTGAAGAAAAAATCAATGGGATAAAATAAAAAAAATTAAGAAACAATTGTATAATTAATGAGCATTATAAAATTTCTTTCAGGATAATTAAGAAATTTTTGCTGTGATCTTTAATGATTTTAAAATCAACAAGTTCATCACCAATTCTTTGATAATTAATTGATAATAACATGTGGAACCAAATAATACAACTATAATATGATTTATATGTGTTACCTGTTCAGGATGATTATGAGTCTATTTATTATAAGCAATATTTTTTTCTCTTTTATTAAATTACAATGATTCATCAAGTAATTACACAAATTACCTGTCCGGCACAACCAGTATCCATAAATAATGCTAAAATTTTCCGTTTTTTTCTCTCCTCTCTCTCTCTTTCACTTTAAAATTATAATAATTATTTAGAGTGTCGAAGTAATAGTTTCTAGCCAATATAATATTGGAAGTTAAATTAGTGATAGTGCATGAAAGTTTAAAATATAAAAATGAAATAGTTTTAAAATAGGTATGATAGATTATATATATATATATATTGAGAATTTAGTTTTGCAATGTAATGAAGGATACACGAAGCGCATGTATTAGCGTACTTTTCCGCTTTAGATGTATCAGCAAAAAATAGCAATCATATAGAATTATAAAATTCTTCGATTTAAATTAAAATTATAATCTGAAACAATCAGTTTTATAAAATATGCTTGAATAGGAAAATAAAGAAAAATGGTATTTAGCATAAAACAGTAAAATTTTTAATTTAATAAAATTGGAAATTTTCAATTAGAAAAATTAAGCTTATTTTTCTTTAGCATAAATTAAGCTATTGCTGTAATGAATAAGCATAACATTTGAAATAATTTATTCAACAAATTTTACAACGAAAGAATTGTGTTGTGCTGCAAAATAACTTATTTAAGTATTACATGCTTATTTATTATTTGATTTTGCATAACTAACAAATCATTCATTACAATTATAATTATATAATATTATAATATAACCTAATAAAGTGATTTCTTTAAAGAAACATAAAAGTTATAGAAAATGAATAATGAATGAAGTCTATATGAAATATAAAATATTTTCAAATAGTTTTGCTATCAAATCTGACACGTTTTGTTCAAATTGCTACAATGCAATAAATGATATTATTTAATTTTAATATCATTTAACAGAATGAATGCTATTTTAGGATACAAATTATTGATATGAGTTAAATTTCACATAGTTAAATTAGAAACGAATAAATTTACAAATTTTTGGAATTAGAAAAAACTTTTTATCATTAATCATAATCTATCATTATTGATATACTTCCATAGCAATCAAATACATTTAACTGAATGAATGATACTTTAGAACACAAATTACTGATATGATTAGATTTCACATAATTAAATCAGAAACGAATAAATTTTGAAATTAGAAAGAACCTTTCATCATTAATCACAATCTGTTATTATTATTATTAATATAACAATGATATTTGCTAAAAATTAAATAATAAAGAAACAGAAACTTATTAGTAAAACAATAGCAAAAAAAAGAATATAAGAAAAATAATTGTGCTATATAAAATAATGGAAATTCTGCAAGCAATAAAATAAATCATTTTTATTTTAACTGTCTTTTTCAAAGTTATTTATAATTTTGGAATGGATCATTTGTATTATCCTATATTGCACTCATATAAAATTCTATTAATTTAACACACTTAAAAATAAAATATTATTCAATTTTCTAGCATAATTTACATACTTAATACGTGCATTTTTATTTTGTAACATAATTCACGTATTTAATACGTGCATTTCTATTTTATAACGTAATTCACGTATTTAATACGTGCATTTCTCTAATTTTAATTTTTTCCTATCTTTTTCATAGAGAGAAAGAAATTGAATTTTTTGAAAATTCATTTACTAGTGAATGAATTTATTTTAAAGAAGAAATAAAGTTTTTGAAATTTCAATTAAATTTACACTTATTCACATAATTAAAACAAATTTAAATTTATCATACAGCCTAATGAAATAATTTTTTGAAAAGTTCCATCTATCAATTTCCTTTTTACTCAAATTTTGCATTATATTGAATTGTCAACAATATTATAAATATGATTGCTTAGTATTTGGAATGATGTGATGGTAAATCACTAAAAGATCCATCATTATTACTATCTAGCACGGAGGTTAAATTTAGTGAAAACGAATTTTCTCGATCGAGAATGAAATTTCGAAAGCGACAAATGATATCCATAAACCATACTTGAATGAATAGCATTGTTGCCAGAGCTGTCACAAATATCAAACCGAATATTTGCATATCTAAAAAATTAAATTACTATCAGCATTTTTTCACAATTATGAATAGTAGTTTTGAAAAGCCCAAAATTTATACTTGAAATAAAATCATTTAAATTACGCTACGATAATTACCTTAATTAAATGGAAGAGTGATTTGGTAAATAATGCATTCAATTAAATTGTGGAATTTTTTTGTTATCACATACGAGTCGTATGGAATTTATGATCAGTGAAGATGTTAATCATTACTGATACGAATTCATTCTTATAGAAATCCAAACATAATTTTATTAAATTTATTTTGTTAATGAAAAATCTGAAAGACAACTTTATGCAATGCATCGTTTATTTCGATATAGTAAATGAAAGATTGAATATACAAATTTAATTTCGAATGAATCAAATTTAATTTAAGGATTAAAAAATTGATTATAGTTCAAAGGTTAAAAATTAACTCCAATTTAATTGTATGGAATTTTAAGAAAATTAAAAAATCTTTGAATATTGCTATTTAGAAAAAAAAAGGAAGTATTAAAAATTATAAAAATAAATTTGATGAAATATTAACGAAAACGAAAAACCGAATGAATTATCATCGATTCGCATTCCACCGAGATCTGCGGCAAGGCTATTGAGCAATTTATTGGAAAACGTGGAACCAATGATAACGATCAAAAATATGATTATTGTGCATATAATTGATGTAATCTTAAATGAAATACAAAATTACATTTTAGCTCAGATATCATTAAATCGAATACATATGCAAAAATATTTCATACCAAATAATTTTTGCTAATGTTTTATAATTTCATCAAGCTGTCACTTAAAAATCTATTCTTTTAACATTCTGCAATTCCAACAGCAATTTTATAATTTCCCTATTTTAAACCTTAATTATATATGTATATCAAACATGATTTCATCAAGCTGTCACTTAAAAATCAATCCTTTTAATTTTATGCAATTCCAACAGCAATTTTATAATGTCCCAATTTTAAAACTTAATTATATAAATCTCATGCAATAAAGAGAAGGAAAGAAATCGGAAATAAAATATTTAAATCAGAAAATTCATTAATTTTAAACTTAATATAATAGCAGAAATTATTAAATTAAATTAACATTTATTAATTATATATATATGATATGATCCGGAAATTATTAAATACAATTATCACTTTTATATTAATTTTATAATAATAGTTATTAAGTAAGTTTTAGTTAGAAATTTATTAACTTACTTGAAAAATTATATATGGTAAGATGAATGTTTGTTTTTCCTTAAAAATACCATATATTAAAGTACCAAATATAGCAAATGCAAAAGCGAATGATGCAATCGAATAGAATGCTAAAGTAACATTTTGCGAGAATACAGTAAGAAATATGATAAATATCGTACCGCAAAGATAAATGATAGAAATAATTCGAGCTGCTAACTGTAAAAATTTTATTAATTATTGATTTTAAACAATGGCTATATTAAACAAAAGGAACTGACATATTCTGGCATTTAGGAATATATTAAAAGAATTGAAAAGAAATAATTGACATGTAAAAAGAACTGAAATAATTTATAAATTACTTCATTAATTATAAATTAAATAAAGTAAAGTAATTTATAAAAATTAATAAATTACTTTATAATTTATTAATTATAAATACTATCAAAACTTTAATTTAAATCACTTTATAATTGTAATTATATTAGGCTATTTTTTTGCTTTTAACATATGAAATATCTATTTAGGTTGTCAATTTGATGCTTGAATTAACAAACTAAACAAAATATAATTATTATCATACTAATATAATTCATTTCAAATTATACTAATCATTTGTAAATAATGAAATGGATGAGATTATTTAAATATAATTTATCATTGTTGTAAATATGTATGAAACTATTCTTATCACTGTTATATAATAATTATTTCTTCCCCGTTATTTATAATTTTAATTTGAATATAAAATTTAAACTAACTGTAATATGCATATAGCCATAGCAACATTGATATTTAACATCGTTATGATCAAAATTAGTTTCATGACTACAAATATCAGATGAAATAAACGATGTATTATTAATTGGTGTTATCGGTATCACATACTGTGATGAATTTGGTAGCTCCACTTTTTCATCAATTTCATTCGATTCTTCCACCGCTACTAATGATGATAATGTGATAGGTGATGATAATAACATTACTGATATCAGCTTTTCGTCGCAAAAACGTAGCTTAGAATTGCTATGTGAGAGCAAATTGTGGTTTAAACAAAAAATATTTTATGTCATAAAATGCCTACCATCTGTCCAAATAATGCTTTTCATTTTCGCTTTTGATTTATGAAATATCGTTTTTCAGCTAATGATAGATATATCGATGACAGGTATATATATATTTATTCAAATCTTACTTTATTGATTTCTTTTTCAATTTATTTCATCGCCATATCCTTTTTTTTTTAAATTCATTATGATATCGGTTGGCAATAACGTTATTTGAATCGATTCTGTCATTGATCAATGAAAAGTTTTTATTTTGCAAAATTTAATCAATGATAAAAAGTACGAATGATAATAATAATAATGATAATAATTTATAAGAATGATAATAATTTATAATTTATATAAGAAAATAATAAGAAATGTATTTGTATAAGAATGATAATAATATACTTATGATAATAATTAATAAAAAATTAATTTAAGCTTATGATAATAATTTATAAGAAATTAATTTAAGATTATGACAATAATTTATAAGAAAATAATTTAAACCCATGATAATAATTTATAAGAAGTTAATTTAAGCTTATGATAATAATTTATAAAAAATTAATTTAAGCTTATGATAATAATTTATAAGAAATTATACTTAATCTTCTTCTTAGAAAAAATTATTTTTAAAAAATTACCCAAATAAATTATTATTTTAACACTGTAAAAGTAGAAAGAAAAGACAATAATTTTTCGACTAAATTTTATAAATTATATTTTTGGTTGTAAAGAATAATACCAACCTTAAAATGATAATTGAAATAGTATCCTTATTTGACTAATTAATATTTTCAGCGAAATTATTATTATCATTCTTAAAAGTCTTTTTCAAACTTTATATGCATACATCAAATGACAAACACACGCATATACATATATGTTGTTTATTGTTCATTGTTTTAAAATGATAATTAGAGTTTACAAATTATATTTTTGATTGTAAAGAATAATACTAATCTTAAAGTGATAATTGGAATAATATCCTTTTGACTAATTAATATTTTCAACGAAATTATTCTTATCAATCTTAAAAGTCCTTTTTCAATTTTTATATGCATACATTAAATGACAAACACACATATATACATACACATTATTTATTGTTCATTGTTTTAAAATGATAATTAGAGTAATATCCTCTTTTGACTAATTGATATTTTCAATGAAATTATTCTTAACATTTTTGAAAGTTCTTTTTGAAAGTTCTTTTTGAAAGTTCTTTCAAACTTTATATGCATACATCAAATGACAAACACATGCATATATATATTGTTTATTGTTCATTGCTGATTTTAAAGCTAAAATTAGCTAATATTGAATTTCATATAATACCGTTGTATAGTAGTATTTGATATTGATATATAAATGAACCTTCTTTTATTTCAAATTTTAATTAAATACTAAATATAATTGAAAACTGAAATTGAAAGAATAAAATTTATTATTCATATACATTGTTAAATGAGATGAAAGATACGAAAGACAAAGAAAAGGAAAAGAAAATATATATATATATATTGCAAATTATTGGTAACATTACAATATTTCGTCTTTTCACAACATTTCTACAAAAGTGAACGAAAAGTAAAAACAAAGATAAAAATGAGTTTGTCAATAATACATTTGAAAAAAATCTCATTAAATTCTCATTTAATTATAAAAGGTAATAATAATTAATTTTAAAAAATTATAGGTAAAAATTTTAAATCAATGAAAAATAAAATTTCGCTTCTTTTCTTCTCTTCTATTTCTAATTATCATTTACATATATTTCACTATCATTCTTATCACTTCTCTTCTAATTATCATTTACATATATTTCACCATCATTCTTATCACTTTTCTTCTCTTCTACTTCTAATTATCATTTACATATATTTCACTATCATTCTTATCACTTCTCTTTCTATTTATCATTTCATATATTTCACTATCATTCTTATCACTCTATTCTTTTTTCCTTTTTTTGCACCTTTCTTTTTCCCTTAAAACATTTCTATTTGATATGATAATTTTCAATTTCAGTATAAATTTTTAAAAATTTAAAAATTTAAATTAATTTTTAAAAAAAGATAATCAAAATTCAGTTTTTTTTGAATTTGAAATTTTTTAATAAATTAATAATAAAATCGAAAAATTTCCATATCAAATAGATATTGTTGTAAATAAGAAAATTGAAATGTTGAAAAAAAGGGGAAAGAAAAATGAAAGGAATGTTTAATTTGTTGAAAAGTAAGAAAAAATTACAACGAAAAAGATTTTTTTCATTGTCGAAAATTGATTTGCCATGAGAATTTGAGAGATAAAATAAAAATGGATGACCAATATTACCATTATCATCATATTAGATAAACTATTTTTTCATACAACTATTATTCATCAATGAAGCATTTGAAAAAGCTCAAGAAAGAAAGCGATTATACAAGATATCGAGGTCAAAATTCTTTTTCTTCTTTTATCTTTTTTTGTAAATAAATTGATTAAAAGTTATCATGAAGTAAATGATATCATATATACATCATCATCATATACATACATGTACCACGAAAACAAATCAAATATTTCGGAAGAAACTTTTATTGTAAAGTTTATTGATTAATATTGGATCATTAATGGATGATGATTTATTTGATTGATCTTTTCTTAGATCAATTTAGATGAGAGTAAAGAAAAGAGCTAAATGATATTGCACATGAAGAATGATTTGAAATTAATGATATTGTGGATTATAGGGTGGTGGTGGAACATGTTGTGGTTGACTAATGCTTAAATTTGGTCCAGCTAATCGTGGTAATTCCTGACTCCTTACAGGAATGAATTCCGGTGGTGTTTCAAGAGTATTCTGATATTTTCGTGTAATGTGCAATTCAAATAACTCATACACTGTATATATGAATACAGAAACAAAAGTACCAATTGCATAAATGAATAGATCACTAACAGCTCTTACTCGATCATCTTCGTTTAGTTTGCTACCAGCCCAATACTGAAATGATGTAAATTTGTTGAAAATTTACTATGAAATTATATTTACTATAAAATTCTAACAGCTCGTTGAAATTTTAAACCCTATATTTTTTAGAGTTTTAAATACAGCAATAATTTCGTATATTAGAATAAACAAAAATTAGTAATTACTGTATATAAAATTAAATTTGTTGAAATTATAAATTTAGATGAATCATTAACAATCAATAGTTGTCATGAAAAGTACATAATTATTAACTCATACCTCATATGAACCAATAACAATATCATTGAATTTCTCGGTGAATCCCATAAAATATAGGATTAAAATAATGGAAATGAATGTTGTTACAGCAAATTGACCGGTAAGTAGTATTAATCGTGGTAGTACATAACGAGAATTATTCCGTCTCTTTGAAATGGCCAATGTTAGCATACTTAATAGTTCACATAAGAAGAAACCCAAAAGGATTGCAAACATAGCAAAATCGATCCAATTACTGCAATTAATAAAAAGAAAAAAAAATTACCGATAGTATATGTAAATTTAAATTTTACAACTATTCCAATATTAATTATATGATCGGATAGTGGCTTGTTCAATTTGGATATTATGTATGGAAATATTTTTAAGTTCATTTAACAAGCTTGTAATTACCATAATTTAAAAATTGTATATGGAAGACTTCATATGCCATAACTGGTCAGTCATTTGATGCAAATATGCTTTCAAATGATGATAGAATGAATTATGGCATGTGATGTTTATTGAATATTAATATAAGTGCTTATAATATAAGTGCTTATATTTGCATGTGTATGAATGGAAGAAATTAATCAGTCATATGATAAACTGATAATAATTTCAATTAATAATGGATAATATATCACATCTATTCATTGCTAACTATTGATTATATTGAAATATAGAGAATAATTTGAAAAATTATTTTACAATTAAAAAAAAACTTACTTATCATTTGCCGATCTGTATAATAAATCAGCGGCATGATATGCAAAAATACCAACAATTGTTGTATCAATAATACTGAGAGCTAAAGCGCAATGATACGGCTTCCAACAGCAACAGCAACACACCATTTGACAACAACTATTGGAAAATATCTTCTTCTGCTCAACCCCTTGGAGCATATCGATCCGGTTGTTGCATATACACGAAGAGAGCCTTAAACAACGCCTTAAGGCCAAATATATGAAATCTCATCAACTATTATATTTTATTATTTGTTATAATCATTTTAAAATTCTTTTTCCTTTTTTCAAATCATTCTTTAAATGTTCGTATCATTCATTCTAATAATATCTCTTTCTACAATAACAGAAAATGACAAATTGACAAAAATATATTAGTATGTTCGTCATCGTATCAATGTGTCATTGAAGTCAGTTAGTTATTCATGAATATAATTTAATTCATTTTAAACGATAAAAAGGATATCATCTTTAAAGTATGTGTTAGGTTATCATCTTTAGAGTATGTGTTATCATCTTTAGAGTATTTGTTATCATCTTTAGAGTATGTGCTAAGTTTATTATACTCATTAATTATAAAATAATATTGCAAAAAAAGAAAAACAAAGAAATTTTTGCAAAATTTTGATATCAAAAAAAGAAAGAAATAAATAGCAATAAATCATAAAAATTTAATTTAAATTTGTTATTTAATAATTTTTGATTATAATTTTAAAACAAAGAAAAAGTGTATCAATGAGTAGAAAGAGAAAAAAAAGATGAAAAATCATTGTATCAATCAATCGATCAATTTAATCAATCAATCAATCAATAAATGTTAAAAAAAATACTACTACAATGTACTTGTTTTTCTTTTACTTCCCATCAAATGAATGTTAATTTAAATTTCATTTTGCTGTTGAGAAATAGAAGTGTTAAAAATCGATTTCAATCATCAACTACCATTTGTCCTTTTTGATTTTCTAGTATGTAAATAAAAACATCATTGTTGACATTTTTATTTCAATAAAAATTAAAATTTATATTTGTTATAATTTTGAATGATTTTTGTTTTTTGTTTTCTTTTCTTTATTACACGTAAGATGAAATTATATTTAAATTATTTAAAGATAAAATTTATTGTTTTATTTTTAGGAATGCTATTGAAATAATAGATTGAAAAAAAAAGATAAAAGTCCATTCCAATTTTAGGTTGCAGTTTTATTTACCATCTCAGAAATCAGGTCTTCGTTTGAATTTTCGTTTTCTTTTCTTAAATTTAGGAGCACAATTTCGTATCGTTTTGTATTTGAGAAAACACTACGAATTACTTTTAATTAATAATTTCAAAAAAACTTTACAAAATTAAAGAGAATAGAAATAAACAAATATTAGCTCATTTAAATTAACAAATTTATTTTTTAAAAAATTAACAAAAAGTTTTAAAATATGAAATTTGAAACAAAAAAAAAGGGAGAGAATGGGAAAGAGAATGAAATGATATCAGTCTATCTGATACTGTTGTAATATATTCGTCATGCTGCGACAACTCTGGCAAGGTGTTGTGGTTTATTCTTATCATTTCAAACAATCAGACATCATATGAAATCGATAGTTATTGATAGGATTACATCAAGGATGTTGTTGTAGTTTTGATTGATAAAAAATAGCAACATCTTTTTTGACACCTTAACATTTAAATATATTTAACGTAAATTTTCATTTATTTGTTATCATGATTTTCAAACATTATTATTTGGGTTTAATTATTATTAAAATTTCAATTAACAAACCGCTGCATTTATTTGGATTAAATTTATTAAAATTTAAATTATCAAATATACAGGTGTTAATTAGGTGTTAATTTCATGAATAATACTTATTATTCAAATAGTGTGAAATCATTTTTTTATAATTTGATTGATTGTTGAATATTCATTTCAATTTGTGAGAGAGAGAAACCGATTTGATATGGGAACATTTGCAAATGATATTTATAGCAAATATTTATATATGTGAAACAATCAATGATTTCCTTAATTTCATTACAGAACATTTAGTCTAACACAAAAGGAAAAACTGAAATTTACAAACGACTAAATTATTTATTTGCTGATAAAGCAAATCATTAATCTGATAACAATAATTATATATATTTATATATATATATACATATATATATGTCATTTTTTAACAATCGTAATGTTTGATTTTTCAGCAATTTCAAAATTATAAAAATCTTCCAGCAAATCAAATTAAATTATTCATTCAATGGAAATTAAATAAAAATTCATCGTTTGCAATATATACATCATTAAAATATATTTATTATTTTACGATACGCTTTTGTTTCATTTATTAATTAATTCAAATCAGAATAGCTTTTATTTGATTCTGATTTTAGTTCACATTGAAATTATTCTAATCATTTAACAATTGACAACAAAATGATACATTGAATGAGGTCATTCGAAAAAATATGACAACGAAAAATGGAAGAGAAATAATTTTGATCAGCTAAAATTACACGGAATTAAAGAACATTTAAAATATAACTATGCAAATTACTAAATGAAGATAACTATAGCTTCAACCTTATTTTTATAGATTCTAAAAGTCTACTTTAACTTTGAAAAAGGTTAAATTAAAATTGTTTAATTATCGTAAAGTTTAAAATGTTTAGTTAATGTTAGTTTTAAAGCATTTAATTATATCTTTGAAATATAAAGATCTGTCTTTCTGTTCTTCACATACACCACCTTTAATTAAAATTTTCAAAGTTATGTAACAATTTCTCAGAACGTTCACTTGTAGATATGTTTGTTGAATAGAAAGAATTCCTTCTATTTCTCCTATATATCTTTAATTTAATTTTAATTTCATCTACAGCTGACATATACATTTGAAATTCAATTATCGATTTATAAAATTACAATTACCCATCAAATATTTCTAATTTTATAATTCAAAAGAACACTAATTTATAAAATTAATGTTTGACAAATTTTTTGATTTCATTGAAATGGAAATATTCAAGATGTTCCAAAAATGTCCATATTTTATAGAATTTCAAAGTTCAGCATTAAAATTTTCCAATCAATAATATATAATTACTTCATGAATCGAAATCAATAATATATATCATGTTATCATTTAATGGTTTGAAATTAATTATTCATTTAATAATTTTAAACTTGAACCGCATTTCCATCATAATCAATGAATTGTTCGTCTTTCTCATTTTCTTCTTGAATTTCTTTTGGAGTAACTTCACCGTATCGCTGTTCATTGTCCTTTATTCCACCAGTCTTTTGACATTTTTGTGTTGCAGATGATTTTCGAAATTCTTCTTTCTTTTTAAGTTTATTACAGCATAGCGTTATGAGATCAATAAACAATACCGCACATTCAACTATTGTTATTACACTAAAACCTGAAATAACAACTTGAAGTTAATTTATTATATCTTTCCGTCTTACTATTGTAATTTTTTAAAGCTGGTAGCTAAATGAATGTGAGAACACTTTAAATAAATTGCATTAGTCATACAATAGTATTAAATTAATTGTTTCTTCTGAAAACTCTAACAATTATGTATTGCTTGCTTTTGGCCTCATAAAAAATAAAATGTCTGTTCACTAATTAATTGTGTGTAATTAAGAATTACCAATACATTAATTATTATGCATGTCAACAATCAGCTGTAAACGAGAATTATCAATCCGTTAACTATTGTGCGTGCCAATTAATAGCCTAGCAAACAAGAACTTCAATCCATTAACTATTGCGCATGCCAATTAATGGCCTAGTAAACAAGAATTATCAATCCATCCAATAATCCAGCAAATAAAAAATACAATATATTAATTATCATGTATGTCAACTATTAGCCTCGTAAACAAAGATGAATGCCAACTATTAGCCTAGCAAACAAGAATTATCAATCCATTAATCATTATGCATGTCAGTTATTAGTTCAGCAAACAAGAATTATCATTTCATTAATTATTATGCATATAAACTAGAACAAATAAATGAGAATTATCATTCCATTATTTGTTATGCATGCTAATTATTAGCCTAGCAAACATTATTAATCCATAAATTATTATGCATGCCAACAATTAGCCTAGCAAACAAGAATTATGAGCCCATAAGTTATGCAAATCGACCATTTTCTACTGAGACAATAAGTTCTTCAATGATTTCAATCCATATTGAGGAAAATGTATTTCATATCTTTAACCCATTATT